ATTTGGGGATTTCAAGATTTGGGATTTCAGGATTTGAGATTTCAGGATTTAGGGATTTCAGGATTTGGGGATTTCAAGATTTGGGATTTTGGGATTCCAGGATTTAGGGATTTGGGATTTCAGGATTTCAGGATTGGGGATTTCAGGATTCCGGGACCATTCCCCACTGATGGAATCCTCACTCTGCCATATAAACCCATTAATTAATGCCAATTAAAGACATTTCTTACAATCCCAAAGGTCTGGATTTGGGATCTGGCAGAAAAATTGGAACTGGGGAGATCAAACCCACCCCAAAAATTGGGAATGTTCCATAAAAATCCTGAAATTGGGATTTTTGGGGTGAAAAATTGGGGATTTCAGGGGTTCTTCAGTTTGGTTTTTTTTTGGGGGATGGGGATTTTTGGGATTTGGGGGGTTTGGGTTTCTCTTCCTCAAGGTTTGGGATGATTTGGGATTTCTCTTCCTAAACAGAGAGATTTGGGATTTCCTTCCCAAAGTGGAGGGATTTGGGATTTCCCTTCCAAAACTGGGAGGGTTTTTGGGGTCCCCTCCCAAATTTAAGGGAATTTTGGCCTTTTCATTTCACCCCGACCCCAAATGAAAATCAACAATTACACTTCATTTATTACAAAACAATTAAAATATTACACAATTCCCACAGTTCCCACCAATTCCCTACGAAATATTTTGGGGATTTGGGTCCCCCCCAAAATTAAAAAACCCAAAAGGGTTTTTTTTTTTGTCCCCCCAAACCCCAATTTGGGACCCCCAAAACCCCTTTAAGGCAGCCAGGGGAGTGCAAACCCCATAAAAAACCCTATTTACAACCAGGGGAAGGCACTGGGGGGGTCCCAAACGTGTGGGGGACATTTGGGGACATTTTGAGGTGGGGGGGGTGGGTCACACCAACAGCTGCCACCATCCCCCGCCACCTTGGCACCGGGGAGGGCTCAAAACGAGGAATTTTGGGTCTTTTTAACACAAAAAAAAAGGCACAAAAGTCTTTGGAGGGTGTCGGGGGGGGGTTTTTTGGGGTGTCCCCCCTAAAAATGTCCCTTTGTTTTTGGGGTGGTGGCTTCGGGGTCAGCCCCGGAGTTTGTCGTAGTCGCTCACCATCCTTTTGATGTGGAAGAGTTTGTTCCGGAGAGTTTTGGATTCTCGTTTTTTGTCCTGGTACTCCGGGCTCTGGGAAGGGATTTGGGGACTTTAGGGGACGTTTGGGGACGTTTTGGGGGCGTTTGGGGGTGTCCCCAAAGAAGGGGGAGAGCCCAAAAATCAGCCCTGACAACTCACCCGCTTCACGTCCTTGAGGTGGTTGTACTCCTCGGCCAGCGCCTGCGGGGACAGCGGGGTCAGGGACGGGGACAGAGGGGACAGGGATGGGGACAGGGATGGAGACAGGGATGGGGACAGAGGGGACAGGGATGGGGACAGGGATGGAGACAGGGATGGGGACAGAGGGGACAGAGATGGGGACAGGGACAGCGGGGTCAGAGGGGACAGGGACAAGGACAGGGACAGGGATGGGGACATGGACAGGGAAAGGGACGGGAACAGCCGGGTTAGGGACAGGGATGGGGACAGGGATGGGGACAGAGGGGACAGAGATGGGGACAGGGACAGGAATGGGGACAGGGACAGGGACGGGGACAGCGGGGTCAGGGACAGGAACAGGGACGGGGACAGGGACGGGAACAGAGGGGACAGAGATGGGGACAGGGATGGGACAGTGGGGTCAGGGACAGGGGGGACAGGGGTCAGGGATGGAGACAGGACAGGGACAGGGAGGGGATAGAGGGGTCAGGGACAGGGGACATTGGATGGGGACAGGGACAGGGTGGGGACAGCAGGGTCAGGAATGGGGACAGAGGGGACAGGGATGGGACAGAGGGACAGAAAGGGGACAATGCGGGGGAATGGGGACAGAATGAGAGAAAATGGGGGGGAAAAGGAAGGGGACAGGGAGGGGACAGGGAGGGGACAGGAGGAAGGACAGGAGGGGGGACAGGGAGGGAAAGTGGGAGGGAATGGGGTGAAAGGGGTGAAAAACAGGTGAAAAAGAAGGAAAAAGGGACAAAAAGGGGTGAAAAAGGGGCAAAAGGGAGAAAAAAGGGGCACAAAGGGGTGAAAAAGGGGTAAAAAGGGGTGAAAAAATGGTGAATAAAAAGGGTGAAAAATGGGTGAAAAAGTGGTGAAAAAGGGGTAAAAAAGGGGCACAAAGGGATAAAAAAGGGGTAAAAAAGGAGTGAAAAAGGGGCACAAAGGGGTGAAAAAGGAGTGGAAAAAGGGGCACAAAGGGGTGAAAAAGGGGCACAGAGGGGTGAAAAAAGGGGCACAAAGGGGTAAAAAAGAGGTAAAAAGGGGGTGAAAAAGGGGCACAAAGGGGTAAAAAAAGGGTAAAAAAGAGGCAAAAAGGGGTAAAAAAGGGGCACAAAGGGGTAAAAAAGGAGTGAAAAAGGGGCACAAAGGGGTGAAAAAGGGGTAAAAAAGGAGTGAAAAGGGGTGAAAAGGGGGTGAAAAAGGGGTAAAAAAGGGTGAATAAAAGGGGTGGAAAATGGGTGAAAAAGTGGTAAAAAAGGGGCACAAAGGGATAAAAAAGGGATAAAAAGGGGTGAAAAAGGGGTGAAAAAATGGTGAATAAAAGGGGTGGAAAATGGGTGAAAAAGTGGTAAAAAAGGGGCACAAAGGGATAAAAAAGGGGTAAAAAAGGGGCACAAAGGGGTGAAAAAGGGGCAAAAGGGAGAAAAAAGGGGCACAAAGGGATAAAAAAGAGGTAAAAAAGGGATGAAAAAGGGGCACAAAGGGGTGAAAAAGGGGTAAAAAAGAGGCAAAAAGGGGTGAAAAAGGGGCACAGAGGGGTAAAAAAGGGATAAAAAAGGGGTGAAAAAGGGGCACAGAGAGCGGGCTGGGGGCAGCGGGGGCACACCTGGTACTGGGCGCTGTCCTCGGGCACCTGGTCCAGCTGTGCTGCCAGCTGTGCCAGGCGCTCGTTGAGCCCGTCCATGTGGGCACAGAGCTCCTTGTAGCGCCGCAGCTCCGCCCCGAAATCCGCCTTGTAGCGCTGGCGCGTGCCCGGGGAGCTGATCGGGGGGTACAGCCTGCCAGGGGACAGCGGGGACATCGCGGGGACGTCACTGGGGACACGGGGCCATCGGGGATA